TCCAAGCAAGGTATCAAATGGAAATAGCTATATATATTGATAAAGTGTATAAATGAAAAAAATAATAATAAATAGAAAATTGTGTTGCAGTGGGCGTCAACTGTAAATTTGAGATTGGAGAATACATACAAAAAGTGGAGATGGTGGCTGATGGTAAGGGGAGAATAAGAGAAACTGAGGATAATAAGAAGGAAGAAAAATGTAAGATAGACATACTACTCTTAACACAAATGTTTTTTTTTTCCTACCCATCTCAAAAACCTCCATACGTACGCTCGATTGGATAACTGAATAAGTAACAAAATAAATAAATTTTGCGTAATATATACATAGAAAATATATCCTAACAGTAAAATACAACTAAAGTGGAATAATATATATAACAAGTATGTACAAGTGTCCCAATCTAAATACAATGTACTTCGCTTGTCAACTTTATCAAAACTTTATAGACACTTCATCATATATTAATGACGAGAAAAATCCATCGCATATAAGTATAAAAATTTAAACGTTGAAAATTTGTTGTCATTATTTTAGATTCAGGCAAATAAGAATACAAAACCACGTGAGTTTAATCAAATTCTTAATTTCCAACGTAAATATGGATTCTCTAACTGAGTTTATCTTGACCCAGTTAAAACCCAAGTTTTATTATGGTTTCCAAAGAATACAAAACACCTTCTGCTTCGTCTCCCTCCACCTCTGTCTCTCTTTCTTTCTCCTTTGTCTCTTTTTGTTCCTCGTAACTAGCTCTTACTCTCTAACCAACTATGCATGTGTTGCACAACTAGTACATCACCTACCCAACTTGAATCGATGCGCAACAAATGATTTTGTTTGATTTGGTTCAACAGATTTTGATCAATAGTGATTATGAATTACACTTGTATTCAAACAACAAACTTTTGGACAGGGGGATAACTTGAAATACATTATAGAAAGATTTGAGAATCGTGATTTCATGCAACTATGAACTCTTAAAAAGTGTTGAAAGACTTCAACTACTTTGAAGTTGTTCAATGTGATTCAAGAAAATATGATGCAGAACCAGAACAATGTTCTCCTTGGTGAATCTGCTACAACCTTTATGTCCTTTCAAAACCTAATAGCATTGAAGCATATTCCAAACACCCTCGGTAACTGCGACCACCCCCTCACTTATTGATCTCAAGAGGAAGCCAGAACAATAAAAATTTCACTCCTTTCTCACTCCAGTTATCCCAGAGCGACATATCCTAGTTTCACAATGCCTGCGACATACCCCTTGAAGACCCAGCCAGACCTTACATACAAAACAACAGATACAGCAATACAAAAGAAACTACCCTGAAAATGCCAAATTACCAACCTCACTGCAAAATTTGTACTACCTACAAATCAATTGTTATACAATTACGTGCAGCGTCAGGCAAGAGATGAACATGGAGTGAAACATGTTTTTACTCAGTGAACTACCTACACAAACAATCTCCCAGTGCAGGATTATCTATAAATATCAACCTCTGCCTTCGCAAACTTTTCAAATCCTCTAATCGCTCACTAGACTGATTAGGTTCTTGATCCTATATAAGTTCACTTTATATGTATCAAAAAACAAAGAAAATCCCCCCTGCATGCATGTACTATGGTAACAATGATATGCCTATAATTAATTACTGGTAACAAACAAGGATCTTGGTGGATTTGAACCATCATCCCTTGAGATGTATTAGCAAGGGGTTGCTCATATTCCCAAGTGCTCTACCATTTGAGCTAAAGATTCACTTAGCATACCCCACTCATTAGAAGTTGTCGTTCGACACTTGAGAACTGATTCAAGAGCTTGTATAATAAGCAATAAGCATTAAACATTCCAACTAAACTGAAATCATGCTATTAACCATTCACAAAGCAAATAACTTATGTCGTTTCGAGAGATAACTGACCTGGAGAATAGTTTGATATGATTTCGATTTCTTGTTGATTTGAAGGTAATACAACTAGTAATAGGAAATCTCCATCAGTGGCAACATGCCAACATGCCTTTACAATGCACCACAATCATTATCTCACATTGACAAATATTTCTGTACCTTTATTTCAGCAATCGACCTTGGAGAAGTTCATGAGAAGTTATATATGTTTTGAATATATGAATATCAGGGTATTTTGGAGCTAGCTCTTTACCTCCAACACTGCCATAATGTATAAAGGTCCCTTAATTAGGGTTCACGTGCATGTGGTGGGCAATCTGTCGTACTTAGATGACCAATATCATTCTGCCACAAAACATTTCCAGTATAAACATCTAACGCAAACACAAGAGCTTTAGCTGAGACTGTAACACACAAATGCCCATTATTTCCAAGGGTTATAATTAAATGCCCATCATATGCATTAAAATCTTGGATCCAATTGAACTGAGGACTTTTAATAGACAACGAGTAGAGCTCTCCCCAATTATTTGAAATCTGAAATGCAAATAAGTGTATAAATTCATGAGTTTGTATTGCAGAGTAGATAGACCAAAGTCCTAGGGATAAATGACTACAACAAAACATCAAAGATCTCCATAGTTAATACATGAAATATGAAACAGTTCAAGTCGCAAAATGAGTTGTGTGGATAAATAGCCTTACATAAATACTACCTTCACATTGATCAATGGTTGGGGCTGAAGTAAAATAATGATCAGTGGTATTCTTCCTATAACCTTGACGATGACCAAATCGATATAGCACAGAACCAACACTTCATATATAGAAGTTTTCCACGCAATGTATAAGCAAATAGTCTGCAATGTATCACCAAAGAAAACTTCAACGGTATAGATTCTAAATTCCCATTATTCAAAGGACTAATTTATCTCATTGTGATTTCAACATATGATCAAAACTAAGAATGTTCATTATGATTTATAAATGCAAAGAAATTTTAGAAAACAAACTCGTTAATTACAATTTACAAAAAAAAAATAAAAAATGGAGATGCATGGACCAAGCAACAATGTGAAACAAATAAGTATCCATACCTGCAAATGCGCAACTAAGAACCATAAGAAGAAGAAAAACTGATGGGCAGCTTCAATTTCGATAAGTGAGAGAAAAACTGATTGAGTTGGGAATATTATCAAACACTTGCTTGGCAATATTTTAATTTCTCCACGAACAGATTCGGCCAATAAGTGATTGGGATTGAATTTCGAACTTGAGAAATAATCCAACTACTTTGACAAGAACTCCAATTTCATTAGAAAAAAAATAATTAAAAACAGAATTTGCTTTGAGAACAAAAATCCCTATAAAATTCAATTTTTTATGAACCAAAGAACTCCAACTGCTCTCTGATTTGTGTGATTTGGTTGAACTGCCATACCCAATCAATAATTAAATGGCTGGAGTAAACAAGATGAAGAAAAACTCAACACCCTTTTGAGACGAAGAAGGAGAAAGACAGAGATGATGAAGAAGGAGATGAGTTTTTTTTTTTAAGAATCTTGATTCTAACTGGGTCAAAATGGACCCAGTAGAGAGAACCATATTTACGTTAGATGTTTGTATCTGTTTTTTTAAAACTCACGTGATTCAGCCTGATTCAGCCAAGTCCGCATACGGACGGACCGTATGAGAGCCCCTCTGTAC